CTTAGAATTTCTACTCCCTCTGCCTGGAATGTTCTTTCCCAGTCTGGCTCCTAATCATTTACATCTTAACTCAGAAGGTCCCTTATCAGAGAACCTTTCATAGCTACCTACCTAAAGTAATAAACTTCATCCCTTCTCATAGCCTATCACATGACCTTGTTTATTTCACTCACAGCAATGGTCATGGTCTGGAATTACCAGGTTCACTTGTCCACTTGTTTATTGACTCTTTCTTCCCAGAGGCCTTGTCTGTCTCACTCACTGGTCTGTCACCAGCCTCTAGAGGAGGGCCAGGCACAGAGTAAGGCCCCCGGTAAACACTGATGGAGTGACTAGTTTGATTTTTAAACCAACATAGATGTGGCTTCAGCTTAAAACTGATCTAGTTGAATAGATCTGAGAACTAGAAGGCCACTTGTGAGCTCTTCCAGTCTAGCCTCTGGCACTTCCCCTTGCTACAGGTAAGGCAGGGGAAGGAGAACCCTTCACAGCATGGACAGGTTAAGACCTGACCACAACAAATCAATCACCAGGCAGCTGAGGATAAGAGGTGGGGTAAATTAACTGCTCACATACTTAGCCTCAAATACCCAGGAACATTATGTCTTTTCATTCCCCAGAGGTATCTGAGCCACTAATTTACAAAGAAGTGAAATAGGAGTAAGAGCTGGAGGTAAGGGCTAAGAAGGTGGTTACCTTCTTCGTCCATGGCAGTGCAAAGAAGTGTTAAAAAGACTGCCAGGAAAATGCAGAGGCCAAAAGTGCCCATCTGGAGGACCAGTCAAGTACACAAGCCTGCCTTAAAGCCAGAAACTATGGAGACCTTGTTTGTCTACCATAGACTTTGAGAAGCCCCTAAAGAACTCAAATTTATGAACAAATACATACGGGGCACTTTCTATATGCAAATCAAAGGATGGAAATTAAATGACCATTTCCAGCTGATCTTGTTCCTGGATTTTTCTCTGAGGAGATTGGAGGGACTGTTTTTTCATGATGATTGGATCCCTGGATCTTTGCAGACTCTGGGTTACCAAAGGGCTACTGCTTGAGAGAAAAGTCCAATCAAACAGGCTGCGGAGTGTCCCAATCCTCTCCAACTTTGTTTTCTAGCCCCCATGAGGATTTAGATGCAGAGAATATTGTGGGAATAGGCACTGGAAAGAGCAAGAAGTTTGGTGTCAGGTGGACACAGGTTTGAAATCCACCCACCAATGATTATTAACAAAGACCTTAGGGGCGCCTGGATGGCTCAGTCCATTAAGCATCTGCCTTCGGCTCAGGTCATGATCCCAGGGTCCTGGGATCGAGCCCTGCCTCGGGCTCTCTGCTCAGTGGGGACCCTGCTTCCCCCTCTGCCTGCTGCTCCCCCTGCTTGTGCTCTCTCACTCTCTCTAGGTCAAATAAATAAATAAAATCTTAAAAAAAACACACACTACAAAACAAAGACCTTAGGTAATTTACATAACCTGCCTGCACTTCAGTTCCCCCCCTTTTAAAATGAAGTTAATAATACTTCTGTTACAGGGCTCATATATGGACTAAGTAAAATTGCAATGTATATAAAATATTTAGCACACCTTTCAGGGGCCGTATGCCAAGTATTTATTTCCTCACCCTTAAGAGGGAGGGTGACAATTACCTCAAAGTGGGGGAACATTATGTGGGTTCATGTAGAAAATAGCAAAGCAGAGACAGGAAGGAGGATACAAAAGTGACTAACGTAGGAAGAGGTCACAGCTGAGTTACCAAGCAGGCTAAAATTACCTTGGTTCATAATCGGTAATGGAGGGCCCTGGTACAGCTCAGTGACTCGGCTTGGGTTTTATATTCAGAAAACGTGGCTTCTCGTCCCAGCTCTGATGCTTGCCAGTGAGCTGGGGCAAGGCACTTCACTTCTCAGCCTCCTTACAGGTAAAATGGCGTTAATAGTATCTGGCTTATTGTGAAAATATACTGAGATATAGGATGGAAGACACCTGGCTCCCAGCAAGACTCTTAATACTCTTAGTAGCTCCCCTTAACCAGTGGAGAGCTGCTGAGCCAGTGTCTGAACAGGCAGGAACAATGAACATGAACTTCACTTATTTATTAGCATTTCAGCCAGGATAGGCTAGATTATGCTGTGGTTAGAAGTAATCCTAAAATTTCAGTGACTTAAATATGAAGATTTCTTTCTTTCTTAAATAGGCTCCACACTCAACATGGGGCTCGAACTCACGACTAAGATCAAGAGTCACACGCTCGGGTGCCTAGGTGGCTCAGTTGGTTAAGCGACTGCCTTTGGCTCAGGTCATGATCCTGGAGTCCCGGGATCGAGTCCCGCATCGGGATCCCTGCTCGGCAGGGAGTCTGCTTCTCCCTCTGACCCTGCCCCCCTCTCATGTGCTCTCTCTCTCTCTCTCAAATAAATAAATAAAATCTTAAAAAAAAAAAAAAGTCACACGCTCTACGGACTGAGCCAGCCAGGCACCCTGAAGATTGATTTCTTTTCTTTTCTTTTTTTAAAAAATTTTATTTATTTATTAGTCAGAGAGAGAGCAAGAGCTAGAGAGAACACAAGCTGGGGGACTGGCAGGCAGAGGGAGAAGCAGGCTCCCTGCTGAGCAAGGAGCCCGATGTAAGACTTGATACCAGGACCCTGGGATCATGACCTGAGCTGAAGGCAGAGGCTCAATCGACTGAGCCATCCAGGTGCCCCTGAAGATTTATTTCTTATTCACCCTACTTTCTAGTGTGGTCAGGTGGGGGTCCTATTCCACACCATTGTCATCTTCACTCCAGGCCCCATGCTGACAAAGCAGTCACTAGTAGGAACATTGCTGGTTGCCATGACAAGAAAAAGATAAGACGGGGAAGCATCCTGACTTTCAAAGTTTCCACTCACATTCCACTGGCCAAAGCACGGCACACGGTGATACCTTCGAGTGGGTGGGAAAGTACAACCCACCATATGTCAGGAAGGAAGGAGAACAAGAATATTTGTGAACAGCCTTAATGACTCTGTAGTTAGGGAGCAAAGACTTCAGGACGATTTAATTATCTCTTTCCCCAGAGAAAGACTTACCATGAATTAGCTTGTTGAGAACTGGCACGTTACCAAGGATATGTTTTTCTTTTCTTGAGGAAAATAAATTATTAGCAAATAATCTTGCTGAGTTGTTGTACTTTTTGCAGTATTTTTGGTTGCTATGCCCACTGCTGGGGTTAACTACACTAAGTTAATTTCTGGAGCCTTCTTTACTGTAGTCAAGAAGATGGCCTTTTCGTTACCCATGGATCTCTTCCTCTCTCCCATGCAATAAAGGTGTAGCTCCTTTATATTCTTCCTAATCATATTTTGAACCCCCAAATTTCTGAGAGCATCAAAAACATTGAACACTCTGTCAGAAACCATGAATTTGAAATGGCCTGTGTTTGTATGTGTATTTCCTGCTAAGAGTTGGTTCTCTTGCAACCCAGAAGCATGGGAAAATAATGCTTCCTTCCCAGTTTATAATACGCAGGTGTTTCTCAGATCCTCCTTCTCTAAGAAGACTTCCTAAAACACAGGAGGTGTCTTGGTTCTCTACTCTGCATAACAAGTGACCCTGATACTTAGTGGTGTAAAAGAACAATAAACATTCATATTTCCCACAGTTTTTGTGAGTCATAAGTTCTGAAGCAGCAGAGCTGGAAGTTTTGAATTGAGGTCTGCCGGGAAGTTGGAGTTAAGATGTCAGCCAGGGCTGCGGTCATCTGAAGACTTGTCAGAGGCTAGAGGTCTGCTTCTAAGACACATCCAAAGATCCACTTCCAAGTGATTTCCAAGACTCACTCAGATGGCTGGAAAGTTGGTGTTGGCTATCGACAGGAGGTCTCAATTCTTCCCTGTACATGGCCTCTCCACAAAGCTGTTTGGGGTCCTTTCCCCTGAGTAAGTGAGCCAAGAAAGGCTAAGATCGAAGCTGCAATATTTTTTATGACTGAAACTCAAACTCACACACTGTCACTTCTACAGTGTTCTGGCCCACATACAGCGTAACATGGGAGGGCATTATACATGAATATGTGAATACCAGGAGGCAAGGATTATCGGAGGCTGTCTTCTTGGAGGCTGGGCATCACAGGAGGTAATGCAAGAATTCTTTCAATTCCCTTGAAGTCTACTCCAAATATAAAAATAAAAATTACAAGATAAGTTCTATGAAGGCAAAGACTTTTTTTTCCTGTTTGTTGTGCTTACCTCTTTGGACATGTCTTAACACAACAGATTCTCAATAAATGTTGGTGTAATGAATAGAGAAGATGAAAAATCAGGAAAACTTTTTTTAAAAGTCTCTCACTAAAACATTGTAAGTACTATATGTTTTTTAGTTTTAAGTAAGGCATACAAATGCCTGGGATATGTGATACACAATGCCTTATCACAATGTAGATACCAAATGAACACTGAGAAAATAAGATCCACCAAGTCCACTCCAAGTTGGTCCAAACTCATCAACTTTTAGAAGCATGAGTTCATCAGGAAGGCAATGTAGCACGTGTAATAGACTTGGAATTAAAATCAGAGAAGTCAGATGAGAACCAGTCCTTTTACCTCCCTGGGCCTCAGTCTCCCTACTTACAACAGCAGAGGTTTGGACTAAATGATATCAAAGGCACTTCTAGCATGAACATTCTGACATTACTTGACCTCAATTTAAATTTCACTATACATTTATTTTTTTTATTTTTATTTTTTTTAGATTATTTATTTATTTATTTGAGAGAGAGAGAATGAGAGACAGAGAGCATGAGAGGGAGGAGGGGCAGAGGGAAAAGCAGACCCCCACTGAGCAGGGAGCCCGATGTGGGACTCGATCCCAGGACTCCAGGATCATGACCTGAGCCGAAGGCAGTCGCCCAACCAACTGAGCCACCCAGGCGTCCCTAAATTTCACTATACATTTAAAGTGAGGCCTGTAAGAAACTATTTCTGATCAACTTTATTGATTAGATATTCTCCCATATGTGCTTGGTTTGAGGCTAAAATGTGTACATAGGTCTGGATTTGTTTAAGGTTTGCTTAAGATTTATTATTAAATCTATTTGTATAAAAATTCCAGAAGCTTCCTGGGAAAGAATTTAATGGAAGTGAGAGTTTGGTTCAAAAAACAATTTCTTAAAAACTGGAAGGGAAAGGTGATTTTAGAAGCAGCCCCCTGTCTACCTAGCAAATTATCTAATTTTGTAGCATGTATTCACTCCGTCCATGTACCCAATAGACAGGCTGAAATTAAAACAGAAGCATTAAAATCTGCAGCAGATTTTTCATGTATCACCTAAAGCTGAACACAGTACTCTAAGAGTGGTTGGACCACAAAGGAAGAGAATGCAAACATTCCCTTACCTGGGGCTTTAGAAAGCTAAAATTTTATTTGGGAGGTGTACATTTTGTCACCTCTTGATTCACAGAGAGTCAACAATACTCAAAACTTCACATAATGTTGTAGTCACCACATCTTCACCTGGACTTTGTATTAAACATCTTCTTGTTAGAATCATCCCATCGTTCTTAGTCCAGGTGTCCTTGCATCCTGCTTTCTGCCGCTTAGGCATGGTGGGGTTTCAGTTAACGTCCCTAAATTCCTTCTCCTCCCTCCTGTTTGATCTCTTGCTGGATTGACCATAAGCCACAGGAGTCCACTGGCATAGTTCACACAAGTCAGCCTCCACAGAGAGCAGGGTGGATGGTGGAGAATGGATCTGGAGGAACAAGGGCAAAATATTCAGCACAAGTGGTCTTTTCTGGGTCATTAATAGAAATGTGGGAACATCCAGGACCGTGAATGGAAATCTTTTGCACAGCCACTAGAAATGTTTCATTTGATATTGATCTATTAATCTGAAACACACAGTCCATATGGTGTAATATCACAAGGAATATTCTTTTTTTTGGTGTATTTTTTAATTTAAATTTTTATTTTAAGTAGGCTCCACACCCAACATGGGGCTTGAACTCATGAACCCAAGATCAAGAGTCGCATCCTCCACCCATTGAGCCAGCCGGGAATCCGTAACAAGAAATATTCTTAACATACTAATACCTCCTTCTCCTAGTACTGTTTTTTTTAAGCTTTATTAAGATATACTTCACCAGTTCAGTGTATAAATCAATGGATTTTGGTCTATTCACAGTGATGCAACCATCACAACAATCAATTTTAGAACATTTTCATCTCCCCCAAAGAAACTGCATATTCATTATCATTCACCCTTCATTCCTCCTCAAACACCCCCAGCCCTGGCAACCACTAATCTCCTTTCTGTCTCTACAGATCTGCCTATTCTGGATATTTCACATAAATAGAATTATACAAAATGTGGTCTTTTTATGTTTGGCTTCTTTCACTAAGCATACTGTTTTCAAGGCTCATCCATGTTGCAGCATATATCAGGGATTCATTTCTTTTTATTGCCAAATGATAGCTATGAATGTCCATGTGCAAGTTTTTGTTGGTCATACATTTTCATTCCTTTGGGTATATGCCTAGAAGTAGAATTGCTCTACTCATATGGGTCATATGGTAACTCTGTGTTTAACCTTTTCAGGAACTGCCAGACTGCTTTCAAAAATGGCCACCCCATTTTGCATTTCTACAAGCGGTGTATAGTGTTTCCATTTCTCCATATCCTTGCCAACACCTATTATCTGTCATTTTCATGATAGCCATCCTAGTGTATGTGTAGTCTCTCCTTGTAGTTGTAGCTTGCATCTCTCTGATTGCTAAAGATGTAAAGCATCTTCATGTGCTTACTTTTGTTGGCATATCTTCTTTAAAGAAATGTCCATTTGGGGCACATGGCTGGCTCAGTTGGAGGAGCATGAGACTCTTGATTTTGGGGTCATGAGTTCAAGCCCCATGTTGGTGTAGAGATTGCTTAAATAAATAAAGCTTAAGAAAAAAAAAAAGAAATGTCCATTGAGGTCTGCTGTCCATTTTTTAAAATTAGGTTATGTGATTTTTATTATTGAATTGTAAGGGTTCTTTACATATTTTAGATATATGTCTCTTATTATATATATGGTCTGCAAAACGTTTCTCCCACGGTGTAGGTTCTCATTTCACTTTGTTGATGGTGTCCTTTGAAGCACAAAGTTTTTAATTTTGATGATGTCCAATCTATCTATTTTTTTTTTTCTTTTTTGCGTGTGCTTTTGGAGTTATATTCTAGTGCTGTTTTGAAAGCTACTTTTTCTTAGCTTCCTGTTCAGGTTTAGAAAAACAGTTCTGATTTCCCTTTCCTGCTCTGAGTTACTTAGAATAGTAGAAGCTAATATTTACTAAGCACTTACTATGTGCCAGGTTTTTGCTAAGAGTTTAGACAGCTTGGGTAACCAGCCAATCGGATTCTGGAGCTTATACTTCACTGTCCTACAGAACGTATCTTCCTCATCTTGACATTTGTTTCATTTTTGCAGGAGGAAAACAGTGTATCTGCTGTTGGTGTTGGAGAGATTACTCTGTCCATGTTCTTTGTTCCCTTCCCTTTCCTGAGGTGAGTCCTCTGCCCCACCCTTCCGAGGACTGCCAGAATCTACAAAGTCTCCAATACACATACATACTTGCCCAAGAAGGCAAAACAACACCCTCGTTCATGACACAGAATAGCAAGGCCCTGATGCCACAGCATAGCTGCCCCTACCCTTTCCTTTGGTTGTCTAGGGCCTGACATCCAGGAGCAACTCTGACACTCCTGGAAAGGGAATTCCACTCGGGGTTGCCTTGCAACTCACACTGAAAACCCCCCAGTTTAAAACAGGTCAACTTTCAATGCAATCACGTCTCATCACATGGGGCAATAAATGACAGAAGCAAGTCAGAGGATCCTCTCAGTTCTTCCTTTCACTTAGACAATATTGACGTTTTGACTTCCACTTTAGGTTTCCTAAATAAATGAGGTCAGAAGCATGTAACAGGAGGCCACAGGCTTCTTCCCCCACACCCTGCCCCCTGTCCCACTGTATCCAATTGCCTATGGAAGCCATTTGAAACTTCAGAATGGGGCGCCTGGGTGACTCAGTTGGTTAAGCGACTGCCTTCGGCTCAGGTCATGATCCTGGAGTCCCGGGATCGAGTCCCACATCGGGCTCCCTGCTCGGCAGGGAGTCTGCTTCTCCCTCTGACCCTCCTCCCTCTCATTCTCTCTGTCTCTCATTCTCTCTCTCGCAAATAAATACAATCTTAAAAAAAAACAACCAAAAAAAACCAAAAAAAGAAACTTCAGAATGTCTCTCAGACTCAGCCTCACTCTCCTACTTCAGCCTTCTTGTCACTGCACCTGTTCAGGCCATTCCGGTCTCTTAGGTGAACTAACTGGAATTCTTTCAAAGTCCCTTCTTCAGTCTAATTGAGTTGAAAGAAATTATCTCTTCATGGTTGTCTTCCTCAGTAGATTATGAGATCTTTAAGGTCAGAGACCAAAAGAATTAATTTCCTCAGAAATAAGCTTAGGGTCTACCATCTAAAGGTATTTATTTAGCGGCGCCTGGGTGGCTCAGTTGGTTAAGAGTCTGCCTTTGGCTCAGATCATGATCCCAGGGTCCTGGGATCGAGTCCCACGTAGGGCTCCCTGCTCAGCGGGAAGCCTGCTTCTCCCTCTCCCTCTGCTTCTACCCTGCTTGTGCTGTGTGTGTGTGTGTGTGTGTTTGAAATAAATAAATACATACATACATAAAATCTTTTTTAAAAAGTCATTTAATTAGCATTTATAGAAGGAATACTCAGTGCCATAATGTGCCCAGCACCTATAGTCACAATTAAATGTCACGTGAACCAGGTGTTTCAGGAACCCCTTCCTGCCCTGCTATAAAGTACATGGGCTTTGCTAACATTTGAGAGGGGGAGACCAAGCCAAAGTAGCATCTTGTCGCAGATAATTTGGGGGTGTCATCTACTGGCTTGTGAACTCCCCTTTATCTTAGTTATGGGGAGAGTCTGGACTGTGTCCCTGTTAGACCCATCTCTACCCAGGCCCACCAAGTGCTCAGGAAGTTTGTTGTTTCCTAAACACACCACACCCACTTTCCTGAGCCTAAACACCCTTGAACATCGATGAAGGGGTAACCAAAAAAGTTAGGTAAGCACTGCAAAATCATTCCTAGTAGGAGAACCAATAGTGATATCCTGTCTTAGTAACCTGCTTGCCATGACCTTGTGCGGACAGGTGGAGATGAGCAGATAAGACAAGGGCTCACACTGAGCCTTCAGGACGTATACCACATGGATGCTGCGTCTCCCCGAGCCTCTATCATCCTCCTCACATCCTCTAAGTTGCCTAGGTAACACTCCCATCCCTTTGCCACAGAACACTGCCCCATTCCTTACAAGAGGAAGAGGTCCCAAGTTGCTGCTCTCTCTTCTTAAGTGTAAAATTAATGCCTTGGGCTTCAGCTGGATGTTTAATGAAAGACTTTCTCTACCCAGCCTACTGCTAGCTCTTAAGTAGGACGAACGTGGGCTGGTCTTGTAGTGAAACACACTGGGGGGACCTTCGATGCCTCTGACTCTTAGGCAGCAAAGGCTGCAGGCAGAGGCAAGTTTCATCTTGAATTACCTAAGGACAGATTATCTCTCCATGGTCAGTATTACTCATCGTCCAAAGATAATTCAGGCCAGTAACACTGGAGAAAAATATTTTCAGCCACTAACATGTTTTTCACCTGGCCCTATGATGAAAACTTTGGCATTATTGTGGTAAAGTAGGCTTTGTTTCCTTCCTGGATTTATTTCATCACAAAGGTCCCTTGTTAGTTGAGGATGTTTGTTTACTTCCTATGATAGAATTTGTTGATCCCCAAATCTCTCCCCAGATGGAACGGGGGAGGGGAGGATCACTCCTTATCCTGCCACAGCAATAAATAAAAACTTAAAAGTTTGCCTGTAGAAGTAGCAAGATAATTGCAAAGGGAATGTTTATGGATTCAGGGCCTTGAACTATAAAGCATCCTTAAGAAACTGACATCTTCAATTTCAAAGGAAATTGTGAGATTCCTAACCAACATGTGTCTTTTTGCCTAGGGGCTAGACTCTCAACTTGTCCCCCTCCATTTCCAGCTCACCATCTGCAAGATGAAAGGAACCAATCTAAGATTTCTAGAAGATTCTTGGAATTCCAAGTAATTCAATTAACATTAACGTCTACTGAGTATCTGCTATGTGCAGTATTGGGTGGTAAAAATTCAATTTTGTACATTCATGTAGAAATCCCCATGGTTTTAATAACCTGCTTTAGAAATTGTGCTAGAACAAAGGTTGACATAAACAGTATTATTTCTTTTGCCTTGTCAACCTAGCAGCAAAGGAAGAAAACATTTTCCCAAAATGATTTATCCTAAAAACCCTGAGCCCTACAGGGGATTCTCATGGGATAGGTCACTGGGGTTTATGGAAGAGCATTCCAAATTCCTTCTATGCTTTCCTTCAATAGTGACTTCACTTAACCTTGACAGTGACAAAGAAACTTCTTCAAGGAAAAATAACTTTAAAATGAAAAAAAAAAAAAAAGGATTTGAACAATAATTCAATCTTAACATTCTTCCAGCAGGAAATATGAGTATATTAATGCTACCAGAAAAAATGTGTTAAAAGAGGCTCAACTGGAAAAAGAAAACATAACTTTTTCTTAAACTCTTTCAAATGACAGAAATTAGTCACAGGAATCCAAAAGGGAGCAATCTCTGAGGGTAAAACACTGCTATTTTACTGGTGGGTTTTTAGAAATACCCTAACTTTCCATCCATCCCTGTTCTAAGAAATCAACTTCCATTGGAAAATTCCAGGCTTAGGCAAAAGAGTCTATTTAATTTACATTATAATGCAAAACATTGCTTGCCAGAGAACCTCCATCACCTATCAGGGTAGCTGCTGCTTCTCTCTCTTTAAAATGATACATTACCGGGCGCCTGGGTGGCTCAGTTGGTTAAGCGACTGCCTTCGGCTCAGGTCATGATCCCAGGGTCCTGGGATCGAGCCCCCATCGGGCTCCATGCTCGGCGGGAGCCTGCTTCTCCCTCTCCCACTCCCCCTGCTTGTGTTCCTGCTCTCGCTGTCTCTGTCTCTGTCAAATAAAAAAAAAAAAAAAAGATACATTACCAAATGATTCTAAATTCTCAGATGCAAGACTGTACTTTCAGGCGTCATTTCTATAGTTTGTTACTAGAGAAGTTTCTCTGAACATGTAGAGCACTGGAAACCATGGGGAAGAGAGGCAGTGTTCTCTCCTGAGGGTGAAATTGGCTCTTAGTGTTGCCTCTGCCACTGCCATGTGTCATTGATGATCTTTCTTCTCTTCCTTTGTGAGAGGGAGGAGGAGGGTGGCTTTGTGAGAGAGAGCACTCTGAGTGGCTAAGAAAGAAAGGAAGAAAGAAGAAAGAAAGAAAGAAAAAAGAAAGAAAGAAAGAAAGAAAGAAAGAAAGAAAGAAAGAAAGAAGGAAGGAAGGAAGGAAGGAAGGAAGGAAGGAAGGAAGGAAGGAAGGAAGGAAGGAAGGAAGGGAGAAAGAAAGAAAAGGAAGGAAGGAAGGAAGGAAGAAGGAAGAGGGAGAGAGAGAGAAGGAAAGAATGAAGGGAGGGAGGGAGAGAGGGCGGGAGGGAAGGAATTCTCAGTTGCATCTGCCCTCCCACCTTGATTCTAATGTCAGATTCTAAATGAAATTTGTACCAGTACACATACAGAGACTTTAGAAGTAAGAATCATTCTAGATGATTTTCCCTTTTCCATTTACCAAAAATACAAGTTTTGATTTTTTTTTTAAAGATTTTATTTATTTATTTGAGAGAGAATGAGAGAGAGCACATGAGAGGGGGGAGGGTCAGAGGGAGAAGCAGACTCCCCGCTGAGCAGGGAGCCCGATGCGGGACTCGATCCCGGGACTCCAGGATCATGACCTGAGCCGAAGGCAGTCGCTTAACCAACTGAGCCACCCAGGCGCCCCTTGATTTTTTTTTTTTTTTGTTATTGCTTTGGTTTTACATCTCAGGACATGGTGTCACCTGCTTTATTGATCAGAACATAAATCCAGTTGACATCCTTAATTCCCTTTCCCATCTCCCCTATATCCAATTCATGCACTTGTCCTGTAGGCTCCACCGCTATATCACCATCATCACCATCTGCTGCTCCCGATGTCCACTGCTGCTGTCCTGGTCCAAGCTACCAATATCTCACACAAAGGAGTACCACTCTGGTTTCCTGAAACCTCTTCTCCTTCCACTCTTGTTCCCCTAAAATTCATTATTCCCATAGTCATCAGGTTAATCTTCAAGAGCTTAAATCTGATCACGTTACTTGATGTGGGAAACAAAGGCAGAAGAAAAATTATTAAGCTTCCTTACTACGTACAGCCCCTTGACAAGTCCTTGAAACAGGCAGAGGGACATTGCTCTAGGGACTCAACTGCCTCAATGTTGATAGTTTGCTAAGGGCAAAAGGCAATCTTAGTCCAACCCCCATGATCCTGTAAGTCTATTTTAACATACAAAAATTCCTTCAGAAACTTCCTTTATCTCTACCCCCCACCACACACGCCAAGATACGTGTTGGCAATCATCCCCCAAGCATATGACCCACCAATATACACCTGAAGGGTCTCATGACTCAGGTTTTATTAGACAGGAATAAATGACCTTTTCCCATCAATAGTTAGCCCCCTCAACGCCCTGGAAACCTTACTTCCAAAATTTCTTAGAGACTTACGCTCTCCCCAACTCCCCTCCCAAACTGAAAGTATGGAATGGACCACTCCTCATGACCCTGGTGCAGCTCTTTCTGCCCACGGGTCCTGTCCCCAAGCTTTCATGAAACCAAAAGACGTCTTGCACCAAAGACGTCTCAACAATTCTTTCTTGGCCGTCGGCTTCGAACCCTAAGGTCTTTCCTACACCATTACTTTTCACCCCCTTGACATCTTCTTGTCTTCCATCACACTAAAATAAAATGGAACTTTCTGGCCCAGAAGGCCCTGCATGATTTGGCCAACTTCTTTGACCTTCTTGCATATTCCTCATCCCTTACTCACTGTTCTTAGCCTCTATCAAACAGTATTTCTCTAACCCAAACATCAAATTTTTTCTCACTTTAGCACCTACCCCACAAGTGCTTCATGAACTAGCACCATGGGGATCACTTGGGACCTTATAAGAAATGCAGAATCCCAGGCACAACCCCTTACCTACTAAATTACAATCTGCACTTATACCAGATCACCACTTGATTCATATGCAAATTATGGTTTGAAAAGTTCTAGTTTAGGTCTCAATGCAATTATTACCTCCTCTGAAAGGCTTAGCGGACCCTCAACCCAAATTAGCTTCCCAAATCACTCTCTATTACGCCATTTGGTTTTTTTCTGATGGCAGTTAACTTTATTTTTTTTTAAGATTTATTTATTTATTTTGGAGGGGGGAGGGGCAGAGAGAGAGAAAGAGAGAATCCCAAGCAGACTCCTGGCTGAGCACAGAGCACAATGTGGGGCTCGATCCCATGACCCTGAGACCATGACCTGAGCTGAAACCAAGAGTCAGATGCTTAGCTGACTGAGTCACCCAGGCACTCCAGCAGTTACCTTTAGAAGAAAATATTTATTAACTAATATCTTTACTGGTTTTTCTCCACCAGAGTGTAAGCTCTGTGAAAGCAGGGGCCATGTTTATGTTGTCCCCTACTGTTTTCCCACCTAGCCTATCTCATCAATACATATTGATAGATAAATGAATATTCAAATACAACTTTAATCTTAATGATCAAAGAGATGGTGAAATAGAACAAGTTTTTGATTTGCGTTTAGCTGGCTCTTTCTGACATAATTACCAGCTAGAAAAAATTTTGAACTGAATCAATTGTTTCGGCACAAATCACTTGCAGTACCCTAATGGAATTTAAGGAAGGAAGGAGGGAAGGAAGGAGGGAGAGAAAGAAGGAAGGAGAGAAAGATGATTGGCCTTGGAAGATGACAGGGTAATAAATGAAATGGATTGCAAAGGACTGCAGAGGATAGGACCACAGAGGTAACTAAGAGAAGATCACGGTCAGCTCCCCAGTGTGGTGCAAATTATGTTATTATTATTATTTCTCACCTTCTAGAGTTTGTAGAACAGTGAAGACGGAAGCTTTATATTTCCTATTGTACTGCCAGGAATATAGCACCAATTAGGAGTCATTAAGAAGGAAAAAGTATGTTAACAACATGTGTGTAGTGAAAAACCTCAGTCCCGTGTTTCTCCCTTATTCTTGCATGACTACAATGCTCATAACACCTCTGATACCAGATGTATGCGTTGTTTTTTTTCCACATCAAGCAATTCTGTGACACCAGCTGGGTGTCCCACAAATTAACTCAATTCTGACATCTACCTGGAGATGGCATCAGGTCAGGTGAAGGGCTCAGTCCCATGAGACTGCCCCCCAATTCAAATGCCAATTTTAAGTAGTAGGTCCCCAGGTTACCCACAACTTCTGTTTGACATGGCTAAAATCAGAGGTCCCCATGACCTCCACCCCGTGGATTTGATTATTTGCTAGAACAGCTTACAGAACTCAAGGAAATACATACATTTACCAGATTATTAGAAGATGTGATAAAGGATACACATGAACAGCCAGATGAAGATATACAAAGGATAAGGTTGGGGAGGGCTCCTAGTGCTTCATCCTCCCAATAGGTGAAGGTGTTCACCAACATGGAAGCTTCCCAAAGCCCATACTCTTGAGACTTTATGGAGACTTCCTCATGATCAGTTGTTAACTCCATTTCTACTGAGAGTCAAACTGGGTAATTAAACATCAGAGGTTTGTGCCTTGCAAAGAGTAGGCAATCAATACCTATGTACTGAATGAATTAAGAAAAGAATGGTTTCCTTTCCTCATCTCTTTCAGGATGGGTAACTCTATAAACAAATCTTTTTTTTTTTTTTAAAGATTTTATTTATTTATCTGAGACAGAGAGAATGAGAGAGACAGAGAACGCATGAGAGGAGGGAGGGTCAGAGGGAGAAGCAGACTCCCCACCAAGCAGGGAGCCCGATGTGGGACTCGATCCTGGGACTCCAGGATCATGACCTGAGCCGAAGGCAGTCGCTTAACCAACTGAGCCACTCAGGCGCCCTATAAACAAATCTTAACACTCTTCTGGCCAAAGATGGAGACTGTGTGGTGAGAACAATGGGGAGCACAGTTGGAAGGGAGTGTGTTACAGCTCCTCAAGCAAACCATCCTTTCCCTTGGTGTGCAGAGCAAGGAGCAAGGAAGGCCTGCTTTAAGAGTGCAAGAGCTGGGGCTGCCTTGTTGGTTCAGTCAGTAGAGCATGTGCCTCTTCATCTTGGGGTTCTAAGTTCGGGCCCCATGTTGAGTCTACGTAGAGGTTACTTAAAACCAAAGTCTTTTAAAAAGGGGCGGGGGCTGCCTAGGTGGCTCAGTCGTTAAGTGTCTGCCTTTGGCTCAGGTCCTGATCCCAGGATCCTGGGATCAAGCTGTGCATCGGGCTCCCTGCTCGGCGGGAAGCCTGCTTCTCCCTCTCTCACTGCCCCTGCTTGTATTCCCTCTCTTGCTGTCTCTCTCTCTCTCTCTGTCAAAATAAACAAAGTCTTAAAAAAAAAAAAAAAGGAATGCAAGAGCTATATAGTCACACCATGCCTGTTTTAATGCTCTGTTATTACCTTCTGAGGTTTTTAATGATTTTATCTTTGAGCTTGGATTTTACACATTGATGGGACCAGGAGCATGTGTGTGAGCAGAGGAGATAGGTATAGATATGAGTGTCTACTCTTCCTTGCTGATCCATTTGCATGTCACATTCTTGATGTCCCATGAGCACAGAATGGTGCCTGGGAGTTCAGTTCTCCTCAAAGCAAGGACAAGGTGAGTGAGTTCAGTCTATAAGAGACAGGGGTGGGCATTCAGAGTCCTGAGAGCACTTGCTCTCCAGTTGAACCAGAACTTGATTTGAATGCAGAAAGAAAGTAATAGTGTCTTAATGTAAATAATGTTAGTTATTTAACAAATGACTAAAGAACCCTATGATATCCTTCCTTATTCATGTTACTTCCCTGAATTAACCAACCACA